CTGGCATGTGGTGCTGGGGATTGAACCGCGGTCTCTTGTGCAATGCTAAGCTTGTTCTAAGTAGGTGCTTTAGACCACTGAGCCATCTCACCAGCCCCAGATTTCATTTTGAGCCCTGAGAAAATAAGAAAAGAGGTAGGTAGAATTGACTGTGGACATAATTATCTTTTCTTTCAGGTCATTGCCTCCAACTGAACATTTTCCTGGGTCCAGTGGCCTTTCCAAGATGGCTTTTAGATCTGCATGCAATAGGACTTGAGTCAACAAGAAAAAAAATAGAGCTGAGTTTAGAGCTCAGTGGTAGAGTGCTACTGTAGGATGCTCAAGGCCCTGGGTTACATCCTCAGAGTGTGTGTGGCGGGGGGAGAAGGGGGGAGGAGAGACGGAAGCAGGAGATCACAAGTTTGAGGCCACCCTGGGCTACCCAATGAGTTTAAGGCCACTTTGAAATACATGGTAAAACCCTGTCTCAAAAAAGTGCAAATAAAATACAATGTTCATTATCACTGTGTCTTTCTGCTTGTAATTAAGCCCTCTGGAGGAAATGCAGTTACAGGACCCAAGTTAGATTTCACCACACTTGTGGGCTGGTTCTTCCCTTTGTTACTATCTTTACCAATCCACAAACTAAGCCCAGCGAGAGTGGTTTTACATTATCCATTGTAGATTATTTTAGGATGCACTCATCCCTTAATCTGACTCCTCTCCTAGGCAAAGGCATAAAGTGCTTTTTAAAATTCCTGAGCGACTAAATGTACCATAACTCTGTAAGATACACTGTGGGCTCATCTTTTGTTCTCCCTGTCAATGCCTGAAACAAGTGCTCCCCCCAACTTCTGGCTGACAAGAGCTCACTAAGGTACACTAGAGGCGGAATTATAGGGATAGAATGGACAGTCACATGCCAGCAGGCTAAGGAACGGACAAATTAGGGGATTGCAGAAAATAGCAAAAAGGGAAAAGAGGATACCAAACAAAGGAGAGAGTTGAGGGAGAGAGACGGCGTAAAGGAAGAGGCAACAGTATGGGCCGCAAGCTATGTGTGAATCAGCATTTCAAGGCTGAGACTGAAATAGAGGACCGGATCCTGGATTCTATAAACCACAAAGAACTGAGAAGCTGATAATTCTGCTCTCTGCTGGCCAGAGTTCAATATGTTAAAAGTGGCCTGGGAGAAAGCAAAACGGGAATTGAAAGGAGAAGTCTAAGCAGATGAGAAGCAGTTTTTCTAGCAGTTACTAAGATGAGATATAAAAGACTAAAGTAGTAAACATTCTAGCCAGAGAAACTGGCTGAGACAGGATCTGGAATTGGCCCCACTATGTTGGCAGAGGCTCTGAACATGGTATGTAAGAGACCTGGCTAGAGCCAGGACTCTCGTGTCCTTTCCCAGTCCTGAGAAGTGGAGTAACTGTAAGCCAATCACCAGCCTTCTCTGAGACTTCATTTTCCTATCTAGTTAGTAGTTTGTTTTGTTTTGTCTTTTGAAACAGGGTCTCACTATGTAATTCAGTCTGGCCTTGAGCTCACATGTATCCCAGGCTGACTTTAGATTCTCCAACGATCCTCCTGCCTCCGCCTCCTAAGCGCTGAGATTACAGATGTGCCCCACCACACCCACCCTAATTTCTAAGGGATGTTCCTTCTGTAATACTAGGTGTTTTGGTGACTATCACTTTATTTTTGAAATCAGATTTTATTGGTACATTTTGGATATACATGATAATCACATTCATCATAGCGCATTTGTACCTGTACATGATATGGCTTGGTTTTTTCCCCCACTTCCCTTCCCTCCCTTCAACCCCTCCTCCCTTCCCCATTTACGAAAGCTCTTTCCATTTTTTTTTTTTTTTACTTCTCCCTTCTTTCCTTTCCTCCTTCATTTCTCCCCATTTGAACATTTTCTTCCCATTTCACAATGCCTATTACACATTTTGATCCTTAGATACACTTTTGGTTTCTCACACCAGAGACACAACGCAGTATTTACACATGTGTGTCTGATTTATTTCACTTAAGAGTATGCATCCACATTCAAGGTGCACCCACTTTCCTAGAAATGTCTCGAGTGAATGGCCATCAATGTCAATTCCCAAGATATTGCCACTAAAGAGGGTTTCTTAGGAGGCAGTGGCTGTAGTGTACTGCTTGAAGTGCTATGGAGTCCCGTGAGTGACCCAGGTAGAAGCCTCGTTATGACATTCCTGTTGTCAGCATCATCTTCTCTGGGTATTCCAGAGCACCACTGCCCTCTAGGTTTATCCTAACAAGAAGTCCTCCTCCATTGTCTCACTCAGCCTTGCCAGCCTATCACCAAAGCTAACATACAGAACAAATGCTAATCACCTACTGACTAAAAATTTTGCATCACATTGCAGTATAAGGGGATTATCACCATTATATCTCCACCTCCCAATTGTAAGCATCTTGAGGTCAGGGATTGATTTTATTCATCCTTGGCTTCCCCATACTCTGCTGACCTCAAGTGCAGTCCGTCTAGTTGGGGGAAAGAAATGGAAAATAAACTGGGCACGATGGCTCACACCTGTAATCCCAGCACTCAGGAAGCTGAGGCAGGAGGATCATTATGGGTTCCACACCAGCCTTGGCTAAAGTGAGCCCAAGGCCAGCCTGAGCTGCATAGTGAGATCCTGTCTCAAAAAGATGAAAGAAAGGAAAGGAGGGGGGG